TGCTCTGGTCCTCCATCCTTGCCTCGTTGGCTTCCAAGGAAGGCGAAGAGGACGCCTCGACTGCTTCTTCGCCTGTTCCCGAGACTGGCGCTGCTCTTATGAACAGCTCAGACTGGAGGGGCCCCACGGAACTCGAGCCCGCGCCGCCCGGGGCCTCACCCGCTGAGTTTCTGGTCTCGACCACGGAGGAGAGGCGCGCCGAGGAGGAAGAGACAGTGGGTAGGGACTTACTAGCGGCAGTGACTGCCGTGGCTCCCGATGTAAACGAGCACACACTGCACGTTTTACCGGATCAGTTGGTAGAAACACGCGATGCACTTAGACCGCACTCCGACGGCGAGTCAGGGGGAAGTGACATGGCGATCGATCCCGCGCGCAACAAGAGTAATGAAAGCGTAAACGAAGAAGATTGGGCGCAGTTGTGAAAAATAGACGGGCGCAATGTGTAGATCGTGCTTGTACGAAGCATTGTTAAGGTGAATTGACGCCCTTTTTTTAATTTTAATCTTAATCGTAGAATCGGCGTTTTATGTAAATTTCCAATGGCTTGTAAGGCATTCGGATTGATTGTCTAGAATGATAGCTTGTAATGATTTGAGAGCAGACCTTATGCTAGCGATAAAGAGGGAAGAAAGGGAAGAAGCCGGAATGCAAACCGAGCCCGAGTGCCGCGAGGAGACAGCAGAGAAGTACCGCATCCACACGCTCACTCATGTAGAGGGATTGAACTAGGCTTGCCAATCCTTGAAAAATCTGATGAAAAATGTTTACGTAAAAAATGCATCCAAAACAACAAAAGCAAGCAGTTTCGCACTCATTTTTATTTTCTTTCTCCGTTCAAACGTACCTGATCCTTCTATTATGGCCTATGGTTCTGGTCTTGCCCCTGTTCGTAATTGTGGCCCTGCGGAATGGTGGGCTCGTATGAAGAAGGGCCCAAGAGCGATGTTGCATTGGCTGAACGCGATGGCGGTGCCCAACCCCCGCCCTGTGCACTGCCCAATAGGAGGCTCGCCAAGAGCTGGGCCGAGGGCTGACCCTGGTGACTTGGTTGCTGGTATCCCGCCGGTGCGAGCGGAGGCGGCAGGCGTTGGGGTTGTGGTTGCTGCTGTGTCCAGTGTGGTAGGGGCCCCGGTGTGGCTGACGATGGCGGTTGGGACAGGAAGGCACCTAGGACGTCGGGGGTGGCTCCCTGGCGAACGCCCTGAAGGAGGTTGTCAAGCAGGCTCGCACTCGACTTCGGGGCCGCCGACAGAAGGCCGTGCGAGGGAGGCGCCTGATGCGGCCCTTGGTGCACCACAGGAGGCGGAAGCGAGAATGCCGGCAGCGAACTTTGTGCCGGAGGAGCTGGTGCAGCCAGCTTTTGCCTCTTTTCCTCCACTGCCCCGCCGGCCCACGGGATCACCTCGAGGATGGGCGCGGGTGGCGCGCCTGGCGAGGCCCTGGCAACAGCGGACTTGTCCTCGTGCGGTGTGTAGGGAATTTCGTCTTCGTGTAGATACTGCCGCTCGATTAAGACCCGAGTTCTCGCCGTTTCGTCGAAGACTTCCGTGGATTCAAGCTCAGGGGGGGATCCGAAACGGCCAGTCGGGGGGGAGGTGCCAGGGTACTGTTCTTGATGGAGAATCGCTGCTTTTCCGAGGGGCATCCAGTCCCTCCTTTTTGAGACTCCCATCGTCCCCCTTTCCCGACATGCCACCCGTCTTCTGCAAGGCAGCTCGCTCGTTCAGGTGCTCTCGCTTGGCTAGCTCGGTCCAAGACCTTCCTCCGGAGGCGGAGGCCGGGGCGTCCTCCTCACCAGCCTCTTTCTCGAACACGAACACTTCTCGAAGCTGCCCATCACCGTGCTCGTCCCTCCACCGCACGCTTCTCCTGCGCTTACTGGATGGAGCGTCGTTCGTGGACCCCCCCGGAGGTGCAGCTTCTGTGATAGGTGTGGCTTTACTGGGCGGGGTGTCGGGGTGGGGTGGAGCCGACGCAGAAGGCCCGCTCTCACGCTCCACCTCAACTGGCGCCGGCGCACTTGCCATCGCGCTTGAAGGGACAACTTGTATACCACCACCTCGACCCCTTTTGCGCAGATCCACGCGCCGCGCCCGGGCCACCTCCGCTTCCTCCGCCGATGCTTGGCGTGGCCGCTTCCCGAGCGTCTCCTCGGCGCCTTCTTGAATCTGCCCGCCCGACACTTTGCTACTCAACTCAACCAAGGCTGGAGATGGCCCTTCTCCGATCCTTGTTTGCTCTCCCGCAGCCGCTGCTACAGGTGATGCTAATGTTGGGGGGGGGCGTGCTGCTGCGGTGGTGAGGGTCTTGACTTCGCGTCGCCTCTGGGTGGTACTTCGAGAAAACTCCGCCCATTTGTTGGTCACTATCTGGACCAAGCGAGGTACAACAACATTATGATGGTGAATCTCCTTGCAGGTTTCCGATGAGTCGGGCGCAGCCGCAAAGGCTTGCGAGACTGTCGACAGGAAACGCGCCATGTTGGAGTCTTTCACAGCCTCGATGTCGACGGGAAGGAGGACTAGTGCTTTTAAGGTGGCAACCAATAGCTCTGACACCGCTCTTTCAACTACTTCTTTAGATAGCGTTCCTGGATCTCCCAACGGCGCATTCCTGTTCGCTCGCTCCTGAGAGTGCTGCTGGTGCTGGAGGCATCCGTTCACGACGGCTTTGAGAACTTCGAGGCCTCCCCAGCGAACCAACTTTTCCAGAACCAAGGAGTACTTCCGTCTCTTCTTCAAAGCAAGACCTGTACGCCGTAAGATCAAGACCAGCAAGGCCTGCTCTCTCCAACACCGACGGGACACTGACTTGATCAGAAGTTGTAGGTACGGCTGAACTACTGTTGCCAAGTCCATCAGACATCCATCCTTGTCAACGCATGAAAGCAAATTTGTTTTGAAAGTGTCTTTTCGCAATGTATCTTCTCGCTCAGCTAGCTCAAACTCTAGAAGGCGTAGCTTATATTCTGTACTCAAAGGCGAACGACCGCATGTTCCCTGCTGGTGCTTGTTCTGCAAGAAGCTTTGCATGTCCAAGAGTCCATGATAAGCCACCGTTTGTGCCTGAAACATCTTGAAGTGACTCTGTACAAGTTTAAGATGCTCTATCATTATTTTCCGGTGGTACAATCCAGTATATGTGCCTTCAGATGGCTTCGTTCCTCTATAGCGCCGCCTGGGTTATCTACGCGGTACCAGGGTGGCAGGTTGGTTCGTCGTTTAATCCCCAGATACCGATCGTCTTCCAGTCACGCCAGCCCTGTATCATGTGGGGAAAACATGCACCTGTCCGGCGCGTCAACAGTAAGTGTGACTTATGGAGAGCTATCGCAGCTGTCTCGGTGGTATTTAGGGCTGTGATGTGCCCCCGTCGCCGCCGGGTTAGCGAGGAAGGGGGAGAGAGGATCAAGTAGACCCCGCGCATTAGAACGTGCAGGAGGGTCTATCGAGCTGTGTTGTCTCCTGGAAAATAGAGCTGCTACGTGGTGGGGAGCAAGTCTTCGACCACACCTTAATCTGACTCCCCTCACATGGTGTTATCAGGTTGCAAAGAACGACATGGTGGGTACAACAATCTGCGCAAGCTGAGCCTACGCCGACATCAGCACTGTTCTCCATCAAGCAGTGCGCAGGTTACACCACCAATTGGCAGTGATTCCATTGCCTTTATGAAGGCGCTCTCATGTTTTCGGCTAGTGCTGGGATTGGTGGCGGTGAACGCGTTTCGCTTCACTTACAAGACACGTGTGGCCAAAGCGAAAGGGAGTCGCATGCCCGTCTTCTCGTTCAACGAGAAATCTACTCCAGGGACCACCCTTGGCACCGAGAGCGACAGACCAAGGGCGCAAGGGAGTAGCGGCGTGCTTCGGCTAAAAAAATTGCTACAACGGCGGCTCCTGTTTGTGGTCGAGACCTTGGGGGGCATAGACCGCGCAGCACTCTATTTAACGCGGCGGGACTTAGCCGGGGACGGATTAGAGCTCTTTCCAGCGGCGGTCTTCCCCGCAGCTGAGGATGACTGGATGATAGGTCATGTGGGCGCCATCCAACCGAAGAAAAAACTCTACCGGAACGGAAACGGCGCCACTCCGCCCACCTTCTTCCTGGCCTCAGGCGAGTTGGCTGTTCGCATTTGCTACGGAGCGCAGCTCATCGCCGTGCTGGTTGTGGACGATGAGGAGCACCGCAAGACGAGGATGAAACCGACGGGGGACGCGAGGGGCGAAACTGGGCTCCAGCGTTCGGCTGTGCGCATGCACCGCATCGAGGAGGTGGCCACGCGCGTTTTCGCCGCCGCCCTGAAGGACACCCTTGTGATCGATCAGCGAGCACTCGCGCTCAATTCGTCCTCGTCCACATTTGTGCGCACGGAGGTACTGCCCTTTATCGGGACCGTGCCCGATGCGTCGGAGGGGCTCCTGTCTGGGAAGCCTGCGGATGCTTCATCGAGCAACGGGAGCGAGGCCGAGCAGGCCGATGAGGCGGCGGCCGAGGCGGGCGCATGGGCGGTAAATGCGGAGGCATCGACGTCCTCTCTCCTGTCCTCGGACGTGACCGTCTCGGTGGGCGGCGCGACAAACATCACGTTTGATCTGCACCTGCTGGAGGACTTCAAGCACATTTTCGACGATATTCAGCTCAGCGGGCTCCGGCTTGAGAACAACACGAATCTTTTCATCCTCCAGGTGGCCGCTCCTGTGGTGGCTGCATTGGCCCTGGAGCCCCTCATCTCCCTGGTTGACACCTATTACATCGGACACTTCCTGGGTTCCGTGTCCCTGTCGGCCTACGGCATCTCCGAGAGGGTCTTCGTCTTCAGCCTTTACATCCTCAATTTCCTGGCTACTTCCACAACCCCGATAGTGGCCAATCTCCGAGCGCAGGGAGAGGAAGAGGCGGCCCGGGAGCTGGTGGGCCGCTTGCTTTTCTTCGCGGGCATGTTCGGCCTGGCCCTGATCCCCATCCTCCAGGCACTCTCGTATCCACTCATCAACCTGCTCGGTGCCGTTCCCGAGAACTACGCCGAGGCAGTCGAGTATTTCCAAGTGCGGAGCTGGGGAACACCCGCGCTCATGCTGGTGGCGGTCTCGAACGGGGCGCTCCGGGGGTACCTGGATACGACTACTCCGCTCATCGTGGCCGCCATCGCCTTCATAGTGGACTACTCCGTCGACCCCGAAGTCGTGTACCCTGCCGATCCCAAGGGCTTGGGTGCCGCAGGAGCCGCGACGGTCATCGCCGAGTGGCTATCTGCGGGATTGTTCCTGACCAAGTTTGTGAGTATGAAGCCGCCTATTCTCCCCGTCCTGGACCTCTTCCCGCCCTGGGCAGAGATGGCACCCGTTGTCAAGGCCTCGGCGCAAATCTTTATTCGCACCGTCCTTCTTCAAGCCCTTTTGGCCACGTCCTGCATCGCTGCCGCACGCATCGGGCCCTTGGACATCGCCGCTCACCAAGTGGCGCTCCAGCTCTGGATACCGCCGTCTTTCCTGACGGAGGCCTTTTCCATCGCTGCGCAGGGCCTGGTGGCCGATGCCCTGGGTCGCGGCGACCGACTGCGAGGACGGGAATTGAGCTTACTTTTGCTAAAGTGGGGCGTTGCGCTGGGGGGGGTATTGGCTGTATTCTGTGCGACGGCGCAGATTCTCCAACCTGACGTGCTTCCTCGCTTCTTCACCGAGGATCAGGGCATACTTGACAAAGTGCACCCGATTGTTTGGCTCATCGCAATCATGCAGCCCATCAATGGCCTCGTCAACGTGGGTGGTGGCGTGCTACAAGGTGCGCAGGACTTCACGTACCAGGTTGTAACCATGGGTCTGAGCGCACTTTTTGCTGGCTCGCTGTTCTTCCTCCTGCGGGACGAGGGATTGACAGCTGTATGGGAGACGCTCCTAGCGTTTCAAGTCATGCGTGCCGTACTCTTTGCGTACCGATTTGTTGAGCCCATGGGGCCGCTCAGTATTGTGTCCGAGTCAAAGACCCAAAAAATTCTGGCAGGATCCCTTTTCAGGGGATGGGATCACGACAAACATGTGCCGAAGAAAAAAAAGAAGAAGAGGCGGCGGCCTTGGTTTAACGATATGTAAAGTAAGTAGGGAAAGCCCAAAGCAAGTGAGAGCAACGTGAGAGCTCTGTCTTTAAGATGCTCTGTACAAAACAAAAGAAACTTACAGTTGTAGAAGACGAGCATTCTCATATAAAAGGAGAAGTCGACGCAATCACTTTTTTTTGTCCCCGCATGGATAGTGACGAAATTTAGGTCGCATTATCGTACAGGTTCTCCCCGTTCTTGTCTACCCAGGTATCTTGGTGGCCGAGCAGGTCACTGTGGCGGCCCAACCAGTGAGTGCAGGGCTTCGGCCATGTCCCGATATGGGCCGGTAACCTCCTGGCGTTTCCCGCCAAAGGCCTCGCCCAAAAACCTCGGGAGGGAAGGCGGTTGCCCCGCAGAAGAAACAACCCCCTGCCGCGGGACAAACTACACCTTCGAGGACGCGGTCTCGCACATGCAGAAGATTTTTTCTGATTGAGGTCGGCCTGGTACATAGACCTGATCTGTTTTGACATTTATCAACATTGCCTGTATACTTAGCCAGTGTGGCAGCCTCCACCTCCCTGCGGAGGGCTCTCCCGCGCATAACGCGAGTGAAACCTGTCATTTTTTCTGCAGACTTTTGCCGGCCCAGGTGCCTGTTGCAAGCGTGCATGTAAGCCAGAGAGCTGATCTACAAATAAATCTTGATTGTCAGGGCTCTGTCTTATGCGATGGTCTGTTTACTCCGAACGGACGAAGAAGACCCGTCATCTCCATCTATGAGTCACGCAGACGATTGCTGTCCTCATCGATCAGCAAAAATCACCTCGTGCTCGTGTTATTATACTAGTTGCCTGTAGAAGCTTGATCGTACTCTATCGTGACCCATCTATTAGTACTCACTTATAATCTCTTTTTCTTCTGAATAAAAACCTACTTCTCGGAAAGGTGCGCGGAAACAGACTCC